GCAATTGTTGCTAGTTTGATACACAATTTTCGATTGGACTTATATGTGTTTGATATAATATCTGGAAAGAGTGAATCGAAAATTATGCATAATTCCCAGGTGATTAGATAGGTTTTTCATCTCTCTGTTGATTTGATCTCTGGTGATTGGTGTGTATTTTATACATATATCTGAGATGCACATTCGCTTCGCTTCGCTTCGACTAATGGAAATGAGCCATTAAAAAGTGTGCTTTTCGTATAACTTCAATTCAAACGGATAGAAAGTTGAGAGTTGTGATTCAATTTGATATTTTTCGCTCAATAACTGAATTTAAAGAAAAAGAAGAAAAAAAAAACGCGCGCAACAAAATAAAAAAACAAAAACCATGGCAGTGCTTGATCTCTGTGCGCAAGCGGTGGCTCTGGCTATGTAATTTTTCATTTGTTTTGTTGAATTAGTTTTAATTTATAATTCATTTTAATCATTGCAATCGTGTTGTGCTGTGTTGTCGGGTACTTTCAAAATAAATTAAGACAGAAAAACCATAGGGAAAATAAAGAACGCCACATTACAAACCGCACCGCACCAAATTACGCGAAAAATCGAATTATTGTGATTATTATTCTGTTTTTCGTTGCTAGTTTATAATTCTCATTTACTGCAACAGCAGCAGCAGCAACAGCAGCAGTAGCGATAAAAGTCAATTCCAACCGCCATAGAATCGCTGGCGGGCACTAGTATTTGCCTCATATATTTATTAGATTGCATTTATCCGTATCCAGACGATTCAATGCGACAGATTAGCAAATACAATATATATAATAGAATGCATTCACACACGTCAGCTACTGTATGCAGATATCGTGGCGGTGTGCATGAGTGCTCGCATCGCATGCAAACAATCGTTTGGTGTGTTTTTTTTTTCTTCTTCTCTCGAGTTTTTGCAACACTCCAGATGCATGAGACGATCGATTGCTTCTGGCCATAAAAAAAATCGCTAATATATTATGCCTAAGCCCCCAAAAGCAATATGTGTGTGCTTCAATGTTGATCTAACTTCATCTCGAATTTCCATTTGTTTGATCATCGCAATGTCGATCGGCACACAATTTCCATATTAAAAGCACATATTTTCTCGAGGCGACAAACTAATTTTCTCTCTGGGTTTTGGCGAACGATTTTTCAACCGAAAATAAAATTATATATATTATTATTATTACGTAAGTAAGTAATGTGTGCTGTGGCGGCAGCTACCATTTTTTTGTTGTTGTTGAGAGTATTGAAATCACTTTTCAAACCAAAAAGAAAAAAAAAATAATAATAAAAACCACCAAAAGATGAAATGGTTTTTGGCGAAATAGATATTTCGTAAGGGCGCTCAACACAGACATTACAAGAGGAAAAATCGATTTTAAATATATATCAATGCGTCATTCAAGTCGAGAATGATGGTGTTTAGCCGACAGAAAGCTGCCTCAATGTGCCATGAATATAGGCATCTACATGTACGTACATATATTGTTTTGAAGCCATACGAAAACTCTCTGTCGACATGAACAAAGCAGGAACAAATCTAAGCCATTACATTTAAGAAACGAAAGTCGATGTGATGCGGCATGACACAGCGTACTCAATTAAATGCATTTCTATTTTGTTTGAAAAGCGCTAATTAGGTTTATGTGTACTTAACAATGCTGCATTATCATTTTTGACAAGCGAGAAACAGAAGACAAAAAAACATACACACATAGCACCACCAATTCATACGTTGGCTCAAAAACCTTGTGCTATGTGTCTGTTTTGTTTTTTTTTTTTGCATTTTTGTTGTGTCGCTGCTTATAGTTCCGTTCCTATAATTTTCTCTTTAGCTTCCCCATCCGAAAAAAAACACACACACACAACAAAATAAAAATCGAAATGAAAATGGAGTCAGCACAACATTTGAATTTAGTATAGTTTTGTATCTTGAAATGTGAATTCAATTTGGCTGCAAATTACTCACTCTCCCCGCCGATGGCACGCAAAACCATTTTTCACATTGAAATCAACTGGCTGAATCTCAATTAATTGCTCTTGTTTAAATTTCATTAGTGCCATTTTCCCTCGACGTGAAAAAAAAACAGCAGCAGACAACGACTCACACTCGTGTTAGTGGAAAAAAAGAGACAGTTTCAGATCATAGCGATTTCGACACATTTCACCGATGAAAATGAACGATAATTAGGATTGCGATTGCGATCGTGGCTGCTTGGGTGCATTTTCAACTCTTTCTCCATCGTCTGCACACACAAACACGGAGTGAGAAAGAAAAAAAAATCATCATGAAATCATTGAAATTCTTGGCCACGATTTAATTAATCTTAAATTTCGAAGGAACAAAAAAAAGAACTTGCATTCAAATCGTGAGTTGGCTTATTGATGAAATAAGTCTATTGTTTCACATTCAAACAATTCCGATCCAACGAGAGAGAGAGAGAAAGACAAAAGATCACTTGAATTTAAATACTTTTGCATGATTAAATTCATGTTTCTTTCACTTACATCAGTTTCATCTGCTTGAGAATCTTAACTAATAAAACGTTATGGATAGATTGCCCTTACAACATTTTAATCCGCAACATTTTAAGAATCAGCGTGTTTTTCTTTCTGCCGTTGTTGCTTCGGTATGTGAGTAGCTGGAAATATGAATTCAAAGAATCTGAATTAAGAAAAAACTGAAAACGATACCGAAAAAAGCCGCACTAAATTTGCGCCATCATGCACGCTCACGAGTTTTTTTTCTTCTCTCTCGTCTTTCTGATCTTCATGAAATTGCCTTTTGTCTTCGTTTTTTATCTCTTGCTGTTATGAGTTGTTCATTTCAAGAACACTTAATTAGGCGAATAAAGAAAAAAAAAGTCGACAATCTCTCAAAAGCATATACACGTATCGTTTGATTATTATGAAGCCATACCGATTAATGGTTGTTGGAATGAGTCTATTGCAAGATTCCAGTCGCTTTGGCATATGAATGTGTTGACAAAAAAAAATGTAGCACAGATTTGAAATATGTTTGAGATTTTTTTTTGTTCTTCTGTGTGAGATTCATGCCAAAACGGTGTGCGATCAAATTGTTCGAGAATTTCAATGCATTGAATGAAATGAGAATGACGATTGACAGCAAAAAAGAATTTCGTTTAAAAATGGTGAAAAACACTTTGGATATCTCCTTGTTTGTCCTTCGCTGAATAATCGAAGAAGAAACAACAACAAAAAAACGGTGCAAAATAGCCAATTCATGTATATGGTCTCTGTGTTTCCAACTGACTAGGAAGCTTTTCAAATTGTAAGTGACTTAAACAATCAGAGATTTGTGATGCTAACCGTTCGCTAAATTCTATCACACATTGATCGCAAAATCCAATTTGTTCCAGAAGCTCGATCTCAGCTCAATTTTCCATCCTCCATGTAAGAGAATCGAGTGGCTTACATTCTTCTTGCGTGGTATTTGCTGTGCCGTGTGTACTGTGTCGGCTGAGAGAACGGGACAACCAGTTTCCAATAATGCGCTATTGTGTGTTGAGTTTGTTGCGTGCATTTTACGAATTGATGATCCACATTACGTGAACTGAATCGAATATGCAGTTATTGGAATATATCGTATCTTTTGCCAAATGCGACGCAACGCAAACACCATAATCATGTTTTATCGAAGCTGAACACAGTTGAGCATTGGTTTCAATATGCAAAATCCAATTTCGAACAGCAGCAACAACAACAGCTCGTACATACAGACACACAACGTTTACCAGACTCTCCAGTTTGACTGGATTTCAAGTAGAACGGCCTGTTTTTGTTTCCATCCAATTTGTCTAGTCAATTTATAATGGAGATAATTGATAATAGATAAAACTGAAGTGAAATGATTCATTTTGCGCGCATTTGTGAGCGCGATCATTGGTATCGATCGTTTCGGGGTTGCAATACACTCAACATCCATGTTATGATGCAGTCTTTTTTTCGTTGTTATGGCTTGATTCAATGTGAATAAACTTTTGTACGGATCCATTGGCATCTTGCATTATCAATGTTTTTTTGTGTGTGATTTCATCACTTGCATCGAAAAAAAGAAGCATTTACTGTTTCGCTTGAAACGTTAATTAAAATTATGGTTTGGTGCGCGTTAAATATGTTTGTTTAAACAGCCTACTGGAATTCGTTAGCGTTACCTTGTGTGCACTTTTTAAGTGGTTTTGAATGAACATAAAAAGGCGCACAATAACATTTCATTTTACCATGCATGCTAAACGCCGTTTTATGATCGGGCAACCGTGCCGTACACGTAAGCACCGAAAAAAAACATTGCAACGTACTGAAGGCAACGTGCAAAAAGAAAAATAAAGCACACATAGACACACACTCACACTCAAAATCCAACAACAGCAACGGCAACGAAAAAAAGCACCAAATCACATACATACAACGTAATTTTCGTTTCATTGAGAAGAGAGGCTTACTTATATTATGCAATGAAAAATTTGCTCATTTTTTGTTTCGCTGATGGGGCTTCCATGCACACGAAAAAGAATAGCACGATGACTCTTAACTGTAAACAAAATCGTTGCTCATTTAGATTTTGAATGAGCGCGTGTGCGTAAGACTTTATCAACCGCATCGCAATCACATTATCGAATAGATGTGAATTAAATTAAAAATGGCTCTTGACAATCGAATACGAATCGAAAAATTTAATAACAACAAATTAGTAAGACTCATTCAATGAGGTGTTAGACCGAACAAAAGATTTCAACAAATCTATTCACCGCTAGAAATAATAAATGAACAACTACTGTGGCAACAACAACTACAGACAATTACATAAAAAAAATTAAGCACATTACAAATGACGACAATAATAATTATGGATAGGTCTTTTTCATCACTCTCCCTCTCTCTATCTCTCTCTCTGATTTCATTCGTTTGTGCAGTAGTAGCTGCTGATTTTGTTTTTAATACGATTTATTTGCTTTCAATTACAGGGTGAATTGTGCACTTTTGCTTCAAGACGCGGTATGGAGTGTATGCCATTGAGAACATCATCGGGAGCATATCATTATCACGTGAACGATCAAACAAAATCTCTACAGGTAATTAATGGCTCTTTTGGTATTGTTGTAATTTGTTTAATGATGTGCGCTGAAACTATGATTAAAAGTTTTTTTTTCTGTTTTCTACGCTTCAAACAATTCGAACTGCTTTGAAGGTTCTTTTCGTTAAACAATACAAACTTCTTCTCTTTCACTGTATACCCATCTCTCACTCTGGCTCTGTTACTCGAAACAAGAAATAAACTTTCTGAATATTGATGATCGTTTAGCATAGTACAGTAATTATACGGTTGGCGTTAATGTGCAGCAACATGACAAATGATATGTTGTTGCATTGTATTTAGTGTTGAATACACACGATTCAAGCCAGTCGGTCAAAGTAAACAGCACGGAACAAAATTATCTTGAACTTTACCTCATGAACTTCGTGTATCGACCATTGTAATCGCATTGTTTATGACTATGCACATAATTTCCATATTTCTTCTTTCATTTTCGCCCGCTCGCTCGCTTGCTCGCACTCTCTCCGCCGAAACATTTTGTGCATTGCGACTTTGGCATTGTTGCGAAATAGGATTTAGCTTCTGTTTCAATTTATTGACACAAATCCGACTCATTCACAAAGCCGTTTCTGAGCCACTGACCACCACTTCAACATCAGTGGATGAAAAGGAAAACACGAACAGAATAGACATGTGTGCAGTAGTGTGTTGGTACTTCATTTTATGTATTAAAAATAAAATAATCGCATTGTGCCCTGAAGCATACGTGCAAGTTTCGCGCTTGAGTAGCTGCCCTGACGATGGCTCAGCAGAATATGATGGTGCTTAACACGAAACCAATGTTTACAATACAAACGACGACGACGACAACGACGACGCGTTTCATTTATTGGGTTAACGGTTGTATGTTGTGTGTCCTTGTCAACACACAACTTCCAGGCTTGTCGAATATGAAATTTGAACGAAAATTACATCCGTCTTCTGGGGTCGTTCGCTTTCATTTCGACATTTTGTTATAGAAATTGTGTAAAATGAACTCGGGACATTAGCGTGCGACTATGCCAATTTCGTACTGTTTAATTTTAATTTTTTTCTTTCTTGGATTCTCACACCATGAATAAATTGATAATCAATTCATTTAATTGAAACAAAGCTATGCACACACAACATTTTGACATTGTGTGCGAGCGAGTGATTGAGTGAGAGACTTCATTTATTGATAACCTTATAAAATCACAGCTCAAAACCGACATGTATGTGCTTGTGTATTGGATCGAAATACAAAAATAAATAAAATGTAATGCATGAGTAACTGCCAGTAACTGACTTTCTATTTAATATGATTTCAAGGTAAAAATAAATCGCGCAAATAACTGTGCATGTACACGGTTCATGCGTATAGACTAGAGAAGGCACACATACAGAGATAGCATAGTCATCGCGTATGGCAAAGCCGCCACATTCAGTGATTTCATTTAATCGGCAACGTCAGATAACACGACAGCCATAATCTTTAAGACAAAAGATCCCACACACACAAGCCGCCTTCAAAACAAGGGGAATGGCATTTTATTTGTGGATAATAATGCTAATTTCGCAAATTGGAATAGATTTGATCGCTTTGGAATTTGTATTTATGAAAATTATGCATTCAATTTAGAAATATATTTGCATGTTCATTGCAGGAATGTGTAGATGCCTTGGTTGAACCTCATCGAATATGATTGAAAATATGCAACGATGTTTCGATCTATTTCGAAATGGATTTCAATGCCTGTTCATTGACGAACATTGAAGATCGCAAGAGTATTTTTTAATGTAAAATAAGATTACGAAAGAAAAATGGTTTCCCCTTGAAAAAGAAAACTGAATTCAAAAATGATTCTATCAAATTGATTAGATTTTATCGACGAGATTTTCTTTCTTTCATCGGCTTATTTCATATTCAGCATAGGGAAAATTTGGCTAATGATCATAAAAGCAGCAAATGTTTAATCACAAAGTGACAGCCATAGTCAATCCAAGTGGATTTGTTGGATCTAAAGATTTTTTTGTTGTTGTTTCAGCTGCGATAGTTTGGTGGTAAAAAAATGCAACCAAAATGGCATGCACTGCATGAGTGTTGAGTTGTTGAATTTTTCGATGGAATCCATTGTTATATATCGCTAGATTGTTTTATTGTTGTTGCCGTTGCTACTGCGCGTCTCTTTCAATTTAATTTATCGCGTTCACCAATTAATTTGTTACGAATTATGCTTTGGGCACCGAGACGGCAATTAGCTGAATCATTGCTGTTGTTACGCGATGGCTGTTCAATCAGAAACTTGGCAAAATCGTCCGATTTAGTTATTACTGCACTTCATTGCAACGGTCTGATTTGTTTGCTCACACACACACACACAGACACTGTGTGTGTTTTGTGGTTGAGCTTTTGATTTCTTCGTTGGTGCGAGTGAATCAGTTTGGTTCGGGCTTTTCACACAAAACACAGATTTGCCGTGGTAAAACAACCAATTATTTATTCATTCAAAATAAAACATTTTCATTCTCAGAATTGAATTCATCTTTTCGAAATGGGATGTGCTATTTTGAATGAAACGTGCCTTCGGAAATAAGCAGAACATAGAGATAGAGACGGATGGAGAAGAAGAGAGACAGAGAGATTAATATTGTAAATTGCAGTGTTTGTGTTTTGTTTTGAAAATTCACGCGCACATTGCTCATTTCCAATGACTGAAGTGAATTCGTGTTATGAATTTGTTTTCGCGATAAAATTATTGTTTTTGATTGTCGTTTGGGAAGTAGCCAGAATGGTCTTACGTAACATGCATACGCTACGATTTCGGATAAAACACAGAAAAGTAATCTACTGAAAAAGAAACATTGCACACGCATTTGTTCCAATTTTGTCTCAAATCGTCATCACCATTGAATGAAATGTCATCTCGATCTTGTGAGTTGTGATTGTTAATGCGATTTGTTATTTGGACTATTTTCCATACAGGAACTACAGAATGAAGTGGGCGCATTGTTGGAATTCAGAGATCTGGTTATCGAAACCTTCCCCGATCTCAAGAATAAAATGGCTTCAATATCAGCGTCCAGTACCGGTGTGCCGTCAGCGTCATCGCTGGCTTCAAGGTGAGTGAATCGTAATACTATTCGAATATACCGATCAAAATCACTACACATCTGCAGATTCGAAATGCAAAACAGCGTTTGAAGACGCAATGAAACTCAATGAAGCAGCGGACTTGTCGGCACACTCGTGGATTTAGCATTTCACTTGCTTTGGCGATTCGTGAGTTGCTGAAGCATCATATATGCAGTGCACTCGATATTTAACGTGAAAACCTATATTCGATACATCGAAGTTGGCCGAGGTATGATTTCGTTTGCGCGTAGCGCGTAAGCAATTCACTTGCGATATAACGTGAATCCCTATTTACTATATATCGCAAGTGAATTGCTTACGCGCTACGCGCAAACGAAATCATA